TAGATGCCTTGCTGATAGGTATCTTTTGATAGTATTACCAAAAGAACTCACTTGATGAAAAATATCAGATTACACTCCACAGCAAAATTGCCACAGCTTGTTGTCTGCTTAAAGGAGAAAGCATTATTTTGTCAAGGAGCAGCTAAGGGCAACTTTAATTATCTCAGGTATGGATCAAGATGAGAAAAAGAAAAAAATGCCTTAGCATGTTCATTTCATGGATAAGTGCAAATGAAGAAAATATCTTTAGGTAACATGTCATCCATCTCAAACAAGGTGATTTCTCCTATGAAAATGTTTAGACTTTGATATTTCAAATTCCCTACTGAACAGAAAAGATATGAGTAATATAATAAAATTATTATAAAATATTATATGAGCTCTGGTGGCTCAGTGGTTAGACTGCGTATTGCTGGCTGACTGTGTTCACTGCCAGAAGTATGATGCTGACCAGCTGAAGGTTGATTCAGCCTTCCATCCTTCCAAGGTCAGTAACATGAGGACCCAGATTGTTGGGGCAATATGCTGACTTTGTAAACTGCTTAGAGTAGTGGTGGCGAATCTATGGCATGTGTGCCAGAGGCGGCACTCAGAGCCCTCTCTGTGGGCACACAGGCCATGCCCTGGAGATGGTAACCGTCCCTCTTCAACCAGCCGCCCACTAACTTGCTGAGGTCCCACATGGCCAGATGCATCCCAGCACCCATGCGCTCGCTGGCCTCTGTGTGCAGAGGTCAGTGGTGTCAGGCAGCAGCTGCCCCTGCCACACCTTACCCTGTGACAATGGCACCCCCACCCTGCCTCGCCTTACCTCCCCTCACCCCGTAGGATGAGCCCCCCGCCCACCACCCCACCTGGCAGAGACCCCCTGGATCTCCCAAATCCTGTCCAGCCCCCACAGGCGTCTCTCCCCACGAGCAACATCAAGGTGATCACGCCCACCCAATCTGCCATGACCACCACAGCCACGCCCACCCAGTGGGCCACACCCACCTGGCACCCGGCGATAAATGGGTTTTGGGTTGCAGTTTGGGCACTCAGTCTCTAAAAGGTTCGCCATCACTGGCTTAGAGAGTGCAATAAAGACTATGAAGCAATATACAAGTCCTACTGCTATTGCTATTCAATTGATACTTTTCTACTAGGGAAAGTAAATTGGGTAAAGGTAAAATTTAAATAGTAGGGAGAATTCAATTAAAGAAAACAACTAGGTAAAATACATGAAAACCAAATTCATGGGTTTAATCTATTGAGAAAAAAATAGAAAGTAAACTTAGGAAAAGAGAGTACATGAGAAATCAAGACAATTATTATAGCCTGGCACACTGTAGGCACCAAATACTAATAGCAATCCATTCTTAACATGTTCCATAAATCTTTAATACCAGTTCCAGTACTCAAGAAGCACTGTAGTATGGATAGGTAGCTCAAAATTCCCAGCTCAATAGCTGGGAAGATTCTGGAAAAGATAAGCAATGAAGCAGCGAACATCTAGAGGCAAACAAAATTATTACCAAAAGCCAACATGGGTTTGTCATAAACAGATCATGCCAGACAAATTGTATTGCATTCTTTGACCAGATGACAAAATTAGTGGATCAGAGGAATGCTGTGGATATAATTTACTTGGACTTCAGTAAAGCATTTGATAAAGTAGACCACAACCTACTACTTGATAAGATAGAAAAATGTGGGTTAGACAGCATCACCACCAGATGGATTTGTAGCTGGTTGACCGGCCATACTCAGCATCTGGTCCTCAATGGAACTGCATCTACATGGAGGGAAATGTGCAGTGGGGTGCCCCAGGGCTCTGTTTTGGGCCCAGTGCTCTTCAACATCTTCATCAATGATTTGGATGAGGGGATAGAGGGGGAACTCATCAAATTTGCAAACGACACCAAGCAGGCAGGAATGGCCAACACTCCAGAAGACAGGGTTAAGATACAGAAGGATTTTGACAGACTTGAACATTGGGCACTATCTAACACAGTGGTTCTCAACCTTTTTAATGCCACGACCCCCAACCGGTTGTAAGTCGAGGACTACCCAACTAGTCGTAAGTCGAGGACTACCCAATCAGTCGAAAGTCGAGAACTTTCCCTGCCCAGGAGCGCCGCGCATGCGTGGTGCCGCCCCCTGCACCGGCCGAGGCGTAGCTGGCAAGTGGCAGAGACGGAGCAGGCCGACCACCGGCTGGGCCACCAGCTGGCCCAGCCCAAGGGAGGTAAGGCCCCCGCCGGGCCCCACGCATGCCAGTAACCCTCCCTGTGCCTGCCGGTCTCCCACCCCTGGCCCTCTTTTTCTTACATTTTTAGTAGTTGCTCAGCAGGGAGGGGTGGAAACTTCCAGACAGCTCACCTTCGCTGCAGACAACTTGCAGCACTGTTTGCAGAATGGGACTTTTGGCAGGCTCAGCAGGGCAGAGACAACCTGGACAATTCCTATTGGCTTTTAAAAGCCAATAGAATTAGACTCTATTCAAGAGAGTCTATTCTATTGGCTTTCAAAAGCCAATAGAATAAAAGGGAGTAGCACAGCTAAGGAAAAGGGGGAAAAATGGCGGACTGCGTTGTTTGGCGACCCCTGTGAAATGGTCAATCGACCACAAATGGGGTCGCGACCCACAGCTTGAGAACCGCTAATCTAACAAAATGAAATTCAATGGTGAAAAAAGTAAGGTTCTACATTTAGGCAAGAAAAACTAAATGCACAGGTATAGTATACCTTGCTCAATAGTAGTAACTGTGAGAGGGATCTTGGAGTCCTAGTGGACAATCACTTAAATATGATCCAGCAGTGTGCTGCAGCTGCCAAAAAAGCCAACACAGTGCTAGGCTGCATTAACAGAGGGATAGACTCAAGATCACATGAAATGTTAATATCACTTTACAATTCCTTGGTAAGGCTACACTTAAAATATTGCAAACAAAAAAAGATGTTGAACTCTAGAAAGAGTACAGAGAAGAACAACAAAGATGATTAGGGGACTAGAGGCTAAAACATATAAGGAACAATTGCTGGAATTGGGTATGTCTAGTTTAATGAAGAGAAAGATTAGGGGTGACATGATAGCAGGGGTTGCCACAAAGAGAGAGTCAAGCTATTCTCCAAAGCACATGAACGCAGGACAAGAAACAATGGATGGAAACTAATCAAAGAGAGATTAATTTCTAATCCATAGCACTAAGCAGAAATTTCCTGACAGTCAAAACAATCAGTGGATCAACGTGCCTCCAGAAGTTATGAATGCGCCAACCCTGGAAGTTTTTAAGAAGAGACTGGACAGCCATTTGTCTGAAATGGTATAGGGTTTCCTGCCTGAGAAGGGGGTTGGACTAGATGACTTCCAAGATCCCTTCCAACATTATTATTATTATTATTATTATTATTATTATTATTATATGTTAACCCTAACTATGGGTATTTGAAAGCTTAAGAGGAAATTTGGATGTGATACTATAAACCTCTTTTTATACATTTTACATGGATAGACAATAAATTCAGGATATAATATTCTCTCTTGCATTTGAAAATGACAAATAATAATCCTGGAAGTTAAGTTGGTCAAAGAGAAAAAGCTATTAGATAAGTTGTTGTCATCTACTGCTATTTTCTTATAAATATCCAGTTCTGTGAAATTATTAATCGACTCAAGAAGTTTTATGGAATACATAATAAACTTAGGTGATTATGAGTTGTTTCACACTTCAGCCCTCAGCAACCTATCTGATGAATTGCATACATAGATTATGCTTGTCTTATAGTTGTATCACTGATTGAGACCAAATGGATGAATTGTAAACAAATATGACAATCCCAAATTATCTACAACTATACTAAATAGGAACTCTATCATCATAGAGGAACAGTTGTGAAGTGCCAAATGACTTTTGTTAAATGTCTAAATGGCATATCAAAGAAACTTCTGGGGACAAACAAGAAACACAACAAACAGAATAGACAATACTTCAACTGCAAATTCTTCTTTTACTAGTATTGTTTAGGGTATTACTTAATTTATATTACATATGCAAAAGTACAAAGCACTTTTTAAATCAAGAATCCAACCACAAATTCTGTCAACCACTAACAATATTTTAAAATATGACAAATAGAAACAAAAGCCAAGAGTATATATGACACATACAACAAAACTAAACTTGAAGCTTTTTATTGTTGAGACCAGTTTTCATTTATAATTGACAAGTTTTTAATAGCAATAACGAAATAGTTCTAAAAAAGAGAAAGTTTGCTTCTTTTTTAAAACAAAAAGATTCAGAATCACCATGGAGTGAAGTAATAGTTTTAAGAGAAGGGCGCCATTATGGCAGCAGTAATCAACTGGCACAGATTGTCCAGGTCTATGGAAAATAAGAGTTAGTAGTGCTTCCTTGTAGTTATGGCTAGAAATAAGACTATATTTGGATAATAGTGATGCCCTGCTAATACAGTACATGCAAATTAAGACAGAGATAAGTCAGCATCAAGAAATGCAAGTTTGTCTATTCCATCATCACATGGGGAACAGAAGTATTACTTATTATATTGAAAACTTCATTACTCCTCACTTTTAAATATTGGAAAATCAAGGAGGCATGGTTTTTCAATATTCTTGGAATAAAATACTTTTTTCAAACTACTGTAGATGTAGACAGGTAAGTTTTTGAAAATTTAAAATCCTTTCTTTCTTAGACAGGAAGAGCCACCTTCTCCATACATAAGGCCTGCTTATTTCAACTTCCAAAGAGCAAAAGCTGGCTCTGCAAACCTTCAGTGACCACGAACAAGCTGCACAAAGCCTTGAGGGAGGGGTGCCAAAAAAAATCCTACACCTTTAACCTTCACCAAAGCAACTCTCCTCCTTTCACCCTCACATAATATTCAACAGAATGCATTCAATTACATTTTCATTATAATGAACACATGCAATAAGCTCCCATTTTTGAAAACAGCATAGAGATATCAAGTTACAATTTTAAATATATATATATATTTACCAGGATCAAAGTCAGGGATGCGAGCTTGATAGTCTGCTCCGACCCTCATTCCTACATCTGCAATGGAAGAAAAAATAAATGCATCTCTTAGAGGGGCGGAGGGGAAAGGACGCCTTTCTCTTCAATGATTGAAGTATAGTCATTACAAATTAAAATGTGGAGATTGTGATCTAGAAGCATCACAGACAATGCAATAGACAATTACCAATAAGAACAAGCCTTGTTGCTTTGATAGCCTCAAAGCCTTAGAACAAGTAGGAAGAGAGAAAGAAGAAAAAGATTACTCCCCCCACCACCACATATACACCGGAAAAAGAAATGCCTACTTCCCTTTAACATTCCAGGTAGGGATTAATTTCCAGAGAGGCAACAATTGTGTTAAAAGAAATTTAGAAACAGAAACAGTCCTTTTACTTTATTGTGCTGATACAGCACAATGTTGTGTGGGTGTATGTATCGAATGCATTCCTAGCATAGAAAAACAAGACAGAAAGGGCTGCAGTAGCTAGACCTGCGTGCACCACTCTTCATGGCAATCCTTTCAGTCAGACACCCACAACGTACTCGTTCGCAAGGTTATATGCCACTAAACGTGTACAGTTGTACACACACGTAAAATGCCATGCAGTACCGCGCCAGAGCTGCGGTTGCATTACACGTGTGCCCATTGTGAAAATGCACACCCACTCTCCACGGGATAGAGGGATGATGGACAGACGGACAAGCAGACACACACAGACACACACACAAACAGCGTGCGCGCGCCCGAGGGAAACAACGCGCGCGCGTACGCGCGTACACCCCCACACTCACGTTATCTGCACCCTGTAGACCCTATCGCGCGCGCACCTCACACTCTTTTGCACGAACGCGCGCGCATGCTCGCGCATACACCCCAACACAGAGAGATCCATAGAGACTCAGTGCAGTCGCCACAGCCAGCTAGTACAGAGGGGCGACGTAACTAGGCCCAAGTCTGCCCGCTCGGAGAAAAAGGGTGGGGGAAGATAAAGCCCGCACCGTGCTCGTCGCCGCTGTCACCGCCGCCGCCGCTGCCGCTTTCCGGCTCGAAAAAGTTCCCGTTGGAACCGGGGCTGCTGCCGCCACCGCCGTTCTTGGTGCCGTTGGGGGCCGCCCTGTTCTTAGCGCCCACCAGGAGCTCGGCTCCTTTCTCCATCATGCCCGGCATGACGGCTACCCAAGAGAGGGGCGGCCGGCGGTGGCAGCGACTGCCGAAGGGGGGGAAAGTTAATGTGGAGCCGCCATGTTAGTGCCCCTTTCCCCCGCCCCCCCCCGCGGCTCGGGCCGCCGCGGCGCCGGCGCCTCCTTCGTTCTCCCCCCCCCTTTACTCGTCTCCTCCACCCACGGGTAGGGGATCCCTCCGCCGCAGCCCAGCCGGATCTAGCCTCACACGTTGGGAACGTTCGGCGAAGGCTGTAGCGGCGGCGCTTTGCTGCTGTCTTCTGCCGCGCGAAGTTGGCAGAACCGCTCCTTCCGCGGCTATCAGCGCCGCTCTATAGGGCTCTTGCTGCTCTTCGGTAACCAAACGCCGAGACTGCTTTCCTTGAGCTCGGCGGGACCCCACGTGTGAACCCGGTAGTGCGCACGTTGGCCTCGCTCGTATCGGAGGATGTGCTCCCGGGTTAAATAGAGCTTGCACTGCCGTTTTGAGCGTGCCTTTGGCAAATGTGGATTGATGTTTTCTGGCAGCTCTCATTCCGGCACTTTTTTCATGGCTTATGAAATTGTCACACTGTATATTTATGCTTCACTGTTTTAAAGTGTTAGGCGTAAACTTGATACGATTCGGGTTATTGGCACGATGAAAGGGAAGGATGATGATGATTAAAACTTCTTTCATATTCCAGGGGGTAGTGAAAAGGGGGGGGCGCAAACATTCTGGGAGGAATCCTCTGTATGGGGTTACAGGAAAATGTTATAGTCACAACAATACTCTGGAGTTTTTGAAGTTAATGCTTAAGCAAGTGTCCTTTGGGCTGACTACTTGTAATTTCAACATTGCTGAATGATTACCACGTGTGAAATGAATCAAGTGGGTTGGGATCCAACTATTCAGGGTAGAAACTCAAAAGTAACCCAGGCAAATGCCACCTAGTCTCTGCTTGAACTCAGCCCCCAAAGGGGAACACATCAGTTTTCTTTCTAAGTAGTTCCATTGCCAAACTGTTCCTGCTATGATATTAGGAACAGATTTTATTCCTAATATTCCATATGTCATTTTATAATTGAAACCATTTTATGCACCTGACACTTGGTGTTTTGTTTGACCAGTTGACAACTCCTGGCTGATCTTGTTTAGGCTTTGAAACTAAGCCGAATTGGTCTCGCATATATTTTACCTTTCTAGAAGATCTCCAGAGGAACGGCAAAGGTGGAGGCTAGTCTGGAGAGACAAAAACATAAAGCATTCTAGATGAAAACTGACTTTCTGAATTCCCCAGAAAGCTATAGGAAGTTTTTCCTGGAGTTTAGGCCATTAAAGCCTGACTTTTCCACCTGCTTGGTCTAAATCAGGGGTAGGCAACCTTGGCTCTTTTATGAGACTTCAACTCCCAGAATTCCTGAGCCAGTCATGCTGAGGGGAAAGGGAGAGGTTTCCAAGCTGAGCCATGCTGGCTCAGGAATTCTGGGAGTTGGAAGTCCACAAGTCATGAAGGAGCCATAGGTCCCCCATGCTGGCTCGGGAATTCTGGGAGTTGAAGTCCACGAGTCATAAAAGAGCCAAGGTTGCCTACCCCTGGTCTAAATGAAAGAGTGGATGTTGTGAAAAACAGAAGGCTTTTGGAGTTAGAAGGGAATGGTTTGAGATTTGGGTGGCATGGATATTTAAAGTACAATAAAATGAAGGTTAATGTAGCTTTTAAAATTCATTTTGTTAGATGTGCCAGCCACCCTGAGAATATGAAACATAACCCTAGGCTATGCCTTGGATCTCAGCACAGGAAGCATTTTATAGAATAGAAATGATTACTAGACATAAATGATTGACTTGCTTTGATACATTAGAATTTTGTTAAGGAGAATATAAAATAAAAACAAGAGAACTGGTGGTAGAAGTATATTCATGTTAGTGGTAATTATTAGAAAGATTTAAATTAGATAAAATAACTTGGGTTTTGAACAATGTGTTGGGAGGAACTCCCCCGTTCGGTCCTTCCAGCCGGGATTCCCCTTGACGGTGCGGCGCAGAAGAAATAGATCGTGAAGCCAGCTACCAGAAAGAGGTTTAATTTCGAGGATCAGCGTTGAGTGACAATTCAGCTCGAGTCCCCGGCTAGCTAGACAGAATGATCTTTTAAACAGAGGTTTTATACCTTTTTGTGGTTTCCAATTTTGTCAATTTTGATTGGTGAGTTTGAATCTGCCTTTTCTGATTTGTTGGTCAGTGACTATTGTTGGTTAAATTTCCTTGCTAATCCTGCCTGAAAGGTGTTAATTACTTTATTGTTGTGTCCTGATTGTTGCTAACTGGTTCCTCATTGTGTGTGTCAAGTGTTTGCCTTTTAGCCTCAGGCTGCTGTTGACCCAGTTTAGTTGGGGTGTTCCTAGGTTATTTCTTAGTTGGGCTGGGGAGGGGGTGTCCAACTCTCATCAAATGTAAGATGAATTTGAAATGGAACTGTGTACAAATGATGAAGATGTTATTGCTAAAATGTATCAACTTTATTGAAATATGAAATAGAAGAGGAAGAAGTGAAAATGTATGGTAAAATGGACTAAAACATTGTTTACAATATACATTGGATCAGTGGGAGAATACAGTATATGGTTGAAAGGATTGAAATTTACACTATGTTATAATCTTAAAGATAAGTTTTTAAAAAGGTATTGTTGGTACATATACCTTGGAATAAAAATCCAGAATGTCTAAATGTTCTTCAAACTTATGCTGGAACTATAACCAACAAGAAAGGACATATTATCATGGTGGGCATGTAAAAAAGCCAGAAAATGTTGGAATCAATTACATATAATAATACAGAAGATTCTAAAGACTCATATACAATTGAAACCTGAGACTTTTATTTTGGGATTGATTTATAAGCTGTTGGAAAAAAATTATGAACTTTATTTTCATATATGACAACTGAAGTAAGATTGTGTAATACACAAAGGTTAAAAAAAATCAACTTTACCCATAAAGGGGGAATTAGTAGTAAAGATGGTGGAACTTGCTGAGATGGACAGATTGCTTTAATTAGAAATGAGACATTGCTTAGGTTTAATAATGATTGGAAACCTCTTGTTTTTTAAATATCTTTATGAAATTTCACAATCAAATATCAAAAGACTAACATAAAAGAGAAAAGGGAACAGCAAAACAAAATGACAAAAAATATATCAAATTTATAACAAAGATGACCTTCAAATTTCTTTTAGTCCAGAAATAATTACAACTTCTCTAGCTTTAAACAAATGATGCTAATCTTTAAAATAAACATTCCAAAATGCCAATATTCGTAAGATATTCTCTTAATAGTAAGGAATTTAATCAAGTTAAGCAGAACAGTCAATTTCACCATTGGACTACCTCCATTAATTTCAGAACCCATTCTATATTTCTCTTTTTATCTTTGAGTATATAGCAACCTTGCTGCTGATGTCATAAATAAAAAAGTGCTAGATTTTCTTTCCAACATACAATATACTGATAACTACTGTAAAAGAAAATTGGAAATATTTTTATAATCCTTTTTTTCTTTGATTTTTGCAATTTTGTCTTTTCTTTTTTTTTTGCTTTTTTCATTCTAAAATACTAGTGTTTATTGTAGTGTTGTAGTTTACTTTGTTGTAATGTGATTTTCTAGTCTGTTTACTGTACCTGTTTATTGTCACCAGTGTCAGATTCTGAATTGGTTATTTTTCATGTAAACTTTACTGTATGAATAATTCCTAACCTTATTTTACAGAAAGGTGCATGTAAACTGCTCAAAGATGGTAATGATTTGATCAATATATAAGCCCAATAAATAACTTATTGTTGTAAAGAAAACTTTAGATTTCTGGTAATTTAATCAGTAGGAATCAAACTAATTTGAGAATATGCTTCTTAACCTTGGGATGTTGTGATACTCCTTCAGTTATTGGTTATTGTATCTCAAAGTTAAAGATGTATAGATTACAATCATTCTATATAATTTACAAGCTCATTATTATCTTTGCTGTTTTATTGACCATTCCATTTAGTCTGAATCCTTAAGATGTCATTCCAGATCTAGACAAAGTCTTTGAGATGATATCTGACTAGTACAAAATAGAGTATAATTACAATTATTTGAAGAATATTTCTGAATCCCATATGCAGTTTGGAAGGTGAAATGAGCCTTGATTATTTACTTTTCCAGAGACAGTTGAAGATAAAATGCTACCACATACTGTACTCAAGATCCTAGCCAATGATAGTAGTTGTTACTGCAGTTGTTAAATTAGTAACATGGTTGTTAAATTGGCTTTCCTATTGACTCTGTCAGACGATCACAGAGGATGATCACATGACCTTGATCACATGACCACAGGGATGCTGCAATGGTTGCTTTTTTCAGTGCTGTTGTAACTTTGAATGGTCACTAAACGAAATATTGTAAGTTGAGGATTATCTGTAGTTAAGTGCCGAATGCAATCCAGTTAAACAGTGTTTTTTAAAAAATATTATCAATCAACTGGTAGCTAGTATAGGAATTTTAGATATGCTTATGTTTTCTTAAATAGACCTTGATAATTTAAGGTATACTTTCACACATGCATACAAAAACATCAATTAGCATTATTTAGTGTAATTACACTAATTGATGTATGCTAAAAAGTGGTTGGTTACGCTATACAATAGATCAGTGGAGACAGAAAAAAAAGAAAAGCATGTCAATTAAAAACATTAAAATGATCAGAGGGAAAATATACGAACTGCCCTCCTGTTGCTGTAAAATTGATGCCATTAAATATAACCTCAAAATATCTGGTAGTCTGAGGGGAAATAAAAACTTTTAGATTTGAGTTTAATGGGAGGAAGAAAACAGATTATAAAAATAATTCAACTTGTGAAATATTGATTATATTTTGAATATTTAACTTATTTTTTAAAAATTACATATTTAGAATGCTTTATGGAGAAACATTTGAGCATAGACCTGAGTTTGAACTGCCCAGAGTTGTTTAAAGATGGGTAGCTGTATAAATATTTTAAACAAACAGACCAGCTGATAATATAATAATGATTACAATGAGTAGACATTACTGCAATCTTGTATATTACATATTTATTGGAAAATTATAATAATTTCCTTTTTTTTTTAAAAAAAATGAGTTATTGAAACACATAATGTAGACATTTTAGTTACAGGCATTCTATGTTAAACAGATATTCTGTGCAGGTATCAAGCTGATTCCAGCATAAAATTAAGTCAGAATTTACAGCACAGGACAGAAATCAGAGGGCTGCTTCTTTGAATTATAACTCTGCATAATCCTATAAACTTGTCAGTATTTATTTAATGGTCAGAGATTGTAATGGAATGTG